AAGAAAGAGAGAAAAACACTCATGATAATGCACTCAATTAACTGTGAAGAATTCCTAAGAAATGCCTATGTTCTCAACTATAGTGAAATGTAGGTAATTATTACCACAGTTACAAATTTGCTTCATAGTGAGAAACACTGAAAATGTACATTTTCATAAGAATTGGATATCCATTATGGAGAAAGCATTCTTAAACAGAGAGAATAGTAGTTCACCTTATTAAATATATCCAAATTATTAATAAATCTTTAACTTTATTTTTGATACATATTGTTGAAAAGTATAATGGTAAAACTTTGTTGCCAGAAAGGAGGATCCCTCAACGGTAAGAGTATGCCTGTAACTCAAGAAATATAACCAGGGCACATTATAAACCTAAACAAAGTACTGAGAGAGCATTCCTTAAAGATTCTCATTGTTTGAATTTTAATGATCTGTACAGCCATAGAATACTTTATTTGGAGTAGATACAGAAACAAATGGTTGTATTTACTTTCTAACAGCAGCAGAAGTTGATAGACCCTTGGGAATCTTTACTCCTCTGTAGCCCACTAAGTGCCAGGAAATATCCCTCACCATCATCTACTAGCTCTTAAATAATCTGTGCACTTAAGAACCTCACCTTTGACGAAAAAGGCAAATAAAAAGAAAAAACAAATTAAGAATGTTCTACCTACTACTCAACACCCGTAAATCAGGTATTTTTTAAAAGTTAATTTATAATTTGAGTGACTCTGAGACATGTCAGCCTGTATTTTATATTTTCTCAATATTCTACATGTCCTTTAGCTTACATTAAGGTTAAATTTGTAAAGTTAAATTGTAGAAATTTCTTATTGCATTAAATATATCTAAAGGATATTAAACATCACTTAAAGAATAAATGTAAACTGAAGTTGATTATGGTTTCTATAACACTAATGGTAACCATTCCTTAAAACAAAAAGTTCAAAATGAGCCCCAGGTATTTTTATTGAAAAACAAATTTAATTTAATCTAGAACTATTTGAATTTCCATTAAAGGGTATAATCCTGTTTTTATTATATGAGTTACTTAAAAATTAGCATGGCCATCATTCCTCTTTTTTCTGAGTTTTTATTATATTGATTCCTAAATACAATATTTGAGGGTTTCTCATATTTTATCTTTTTCTATCATTCCTAATTACTGCATGTATTTCAATGAAATCAACAATAATTTTGATAATGTTGTTATACCATGCATTACTAATTAATTCACTGGTTCGAAATTCTATACTCATTTATTACATGATAAAGGGTATGGTTTAATTAAACTATAAAATACAAATATTTGAAATATGCAATACATAAGCCACTTGAGCTAATAATTCAGTTTCCTCATAATGATCCTGATTTCCAATTCTCCTAATATATTCACAAGAATGGGATGTATGAATCCTTTACTCCTGCTCTGGGAGAAAGTAATGGTAGCCCCACAAGTTTTCCACCAAGGAATCTTGTATACTTAATTTTGTCACTAATGACAGAGCCCCCCACCAAAAAAAAAAAAAGCATGTAACCAGTATATCTACTGAATATATAAATATATACTATTGTCGAGAGAGTTTTTATTTTATTTTATTTTAAAATCCCATAAGTATAACCTAAGTAAAGCATGCTGGTTCTATCTACTGTACTTATGTTTAAATGTGTTGACTTTTCTATATCTTTAGATTAAGTGAAACTTTTATGCTTTCCTAAAACATAGATATTAAAATCTTTAACAGAATTTGTATACTAATAACCACATACATTAATAATTTTCAAAACAGTGAAAGCTCTTTATGCCTATACCATTAAGGGTCCTACACTCCAAGAGTCCTTCAAAAGGACAACAAAGGTACTTTATTCAACAGACATTGCTAGCATAGGGTAGTCAAAAATACTGGAGGTTTCTCCTATGTTAATACCTACTCATTATAAGCTTGTTTCTCCTGTGTTAATACCTATTCATTGTAAGCTTGTCTTTGCTTTCATCGCTTCTCTAGCATTTATATTGAGGAAACTGAGATAATGAGCCTCAATGGCAGTACTTCTTATGCTCACCTACTCTCATGTAATTCTACCCACTCTCTTTGTTCCTAAAGCTTTATTGTAAACCAATTATATTTACATATTTATATTACAAATAAAATATATAAAGAGTAGCATTTATTTTTAAAATTATTCAATTAAAATATAACGCTAAATTGTATTTTTAAATATTATTTAAGATAGTTTTCAAATGTATTTCAAAAGAAGGAACAGTTCAAACTTTCATTAAGGAGTTACTTGTAAAACAGTGCTGATTATGTAAAACAGTCAGGAGGAAAAAACTAATCATAAGGATTAATCCGAGCAATAATTATGCTGGTGCTTCCCAAGGCTTTTTTATAAATAAAATTAATTATATTTTATGGGAAAAAAGCACAAAACAAAAGTACTTCAGTTAAATTGTTTCTCAAATAAGAGGTTCAGAATTTCATGTTTCTTTGCCCTCATATAAAGTGAGTACATAAATCATTATTTGCGATATGAATGCTCATGCAGAACATTTAAAGGTAGATTCATGCAGTATAGTATTATTTCAAGTAATGTCTTATCACCACGTGCTTCTAGCTGAAAACCAACTGAAAAAATAACATCCTGAGAGCTACAGAAAAGATTATTAAGCTAATGATTCCCCAAAAGGGAAAGAATATGCATAAAAAGCAGTGGGGTGGATGGTGCAGATAAGGATTCTATATTATGCATTCGGAATTATTATTTGAGAAACCACACTGTCTGCATACATTTTATCATGTTAATAATAAGCAACAGGTAGTTCAAGGATTTAAAAAATGATAGCATTTATCTGCTCCATTCCCTCCAAAAGTCATCTTTACAAAACGGTAACTGTCTTACTAAAATGGCAATACTAAAACCTGATGAAAGTTTTTCCAATAAATCAGTATTATATTTTTAGGTATTGCATAGACTTCAAAACAGATATTTGCGTAAAATGTATCAGTAAATCCTTTGAAAAATTTATGTACAATTTTGATGAACTTTTTCCTTGAGATCATAGAGCAATACCTGAAAATGATATAGCAATAAAATACTCTGTCTCTATAGAAAGTGACTCCATAAATTCTAGCATATTTAGTTCTCTAGTAGGCAAATCAGCTTGTCTCAATAGTTTAAATCAAACACATTCACGAACTGCCTAAGTCACTCAATAATTCAATAAAGTAATTTGAATAAAGTAAGAGAAGATCAAGTTATTCAACAATTAAAATACATTTTAGAGAAGAAAGCTTTTATCTCTGCTCTCGTTGAAGATAGTAATACTCTTACAATTCTGCCAGCGAGGAATCTTGTGTAGTTGATTTTATCACTATCCAGCAGAGCTAAAAAACACACCCCAAAACAAATAGAAAACAGCATGCAACCAGTATTATCTACTAAACATACCCCATTGTTGAGAGGTCTTTCAAAAATTCATTTCTAAAAGATTTTAAAGCAGCCATTAAATAATGAAATGACATAATGTCAAACACTGTTCAAATACTGATAAAATGTTCAATTTTTTTTTTGCCAAATGAGGGCGTGATAAACAAATTCTCTTTAGGTTTAGGAATATCTCACTCACTATCCTTTTTGCTTGTACTCAATATTAGTGTAAACTTAAATATGCAAGGGGTATGTTTTTATAAGGGCATACCACTTATATGCTTAAACTTTGTTCATAAAGTATGTAGGCAAAGTTCTCCATTAAATATTCTCAATCAAATGACTAAACTTAATTTTAAAGTAAAAATTTGTGTTCCTTCAGTAATCCCTCTGCTAGGTTTGTCTTGTCAGCTACTTCATGGAGAGGTTGAGAGAATGGGTTAGAGGAGGCAGGATGAAATCTAGCCTAGGCTCCCATTTATTTTCCCAAATGGTGACTGAATCAGAGCTGATGAAAGAAGTTAACTCATCTCCACGTAGTGCACTGCAGATGTACTCCACGAGAAATTCTCTCAAATGTCACGGTAAGTATTGGCAATGTGTCTGGGAATCACGCTCGCTCCAGTTCATGCGTTCCGTGCTTTAAAGGGTGGGCTGGGGGGGTGGGTATTCAGCCATCTGGGCGGCCTCCTCACTGGGACAACTGAGTTCAAGGCTTCCAGTCGTACCGCGCTCTGTACGTGAGCAGCTCTTACTGGGCTCCATTCAGATCAGGTGAGAAAAAAAAAATGACTGGCAACTCATGACCACTGGCTTCAAGTGTCGAAACCTGGCTCCCTCTTATTAACCCTTTTGAAAACTCCCCAGGGGAGTCTATGGTTTAACTCTTTCATCCCTGTCACCTGCAACCCTCCCGCCCTCGCATCCCCTTCCCGCAGATTTCAAGGCAGTGATTCATTTTGGAATAAAATGTAATCAAATACATTGCAAACATGTTCTGGATTAAAGTCATGTTGAAGCACAAATCTGATCGACAATTTTATGTAATCAGGAGCAGTTCAACGAGTCCCTACTGGTGCCGCCAAACATCCTCCCACTCTCGGAGAGCGGGCATTTATAAATCTTACATCTTCCTACCTCCTCCCTCAAATTCCTTAATGGACCATTAGCGACGGGATCGATCCTAGTTACTTTAGTAGCGATACATCGCAAAGGCACATCTGCTGTGTTTACCAGTGCCAGCAACACCATTCAAAAGTTGAGAGGGTAGAGCCAGCACTTTCTAACCTTTGTGGGCCGGGAGGGGGCACAGGGGAGAGCAGGGTGGGGGAGGAAGAGTGGGAGCCTTGTGAGACCTGAACTCCTGTGCATCCTAGAAGCAAGCCCTTGAACCAGGTGGGAGGGGGCAGCGGAACTGTGAACTTCTCCGGCAGCCCTGCGCCGTCGCACTTCCCTAAATCTCTCTCCTCAGAAAACGGAGCCCACTCCCCACCCACACCCGGCCACCGCGGCCCCCGCCACGGAGCAGCGCGCGCGTGTGCCCGGGGATGGGGGTGCGCCGCACTTACGTCTCGGAATTTGTTCCACTGTCCGACTTCCTTGTCATACTGAGAGATTGTGGTGAGCCATTGTTTATCATCCAGAAAATTACCGCCGTCCGACCGCCCCCCGGCTGCAGCCACCGCCGCGGCAGCTGCGAGAGACTGACTGCACCAAGCGGCTGCACACACACACAGTACGGCTGACACCTTGAGCATCTGGGAGAGGAGACACAACGGGGATGGGGGGCATGTCAGTGTCAAATAAGGGGTACGAAGCCAGGGGCGACCCTGGAAAACATGCATTAGCAACGACGGGGGTAGAGGGAGGAGGAGACAAGCAGAGGCAAGCGTGTCCCCTCCCCGCAGGCTTTACCCCCAAAAGCCGGGCACTCACACACACGCAGACACAGAGGAGAAGAGGTGGGTATAAGGAAGCAAGCCCCAGCCGCAGCAGCCCGAGCGGGCAAAAAAACCGCTTCCTGGCACATCACCTTGTTGTGAGCCAGCACTGTGCTCGCAGCTCCTGCTGGAAATGCAGCCCTGCTCTGCCAACTCGCTGCTTTCTGGAGCTGCTGCACGCGCCGCCGTCTCGAGCCGTCCACTCAGCTCCCTGCGCCCGGCGCGCTCCCCCCATCTCCACCCTCCCTTCGCGCGCGGATCTCCAGCTTACTCCCCTCCGTTCCCCCTCCCTCCTCGACCTCCGTTTTTTTCCTCTTCCACCTCCAGCTGCAGTTGGCTCCGGATACGACGCTTGGCTGGAGCCAGAGGACGAGTTAGCTCCTAGCTTAGGAATCCTTATCTGCTTTGTAACCTCTCCCCTCCAGAAGAGGTTCTCATGTTCGCGAGAGAGCCTGCTCATTCTCTGCTCCTGGATTTAACACAAAGCGTACTATCTCTCGCAGTCGCCTCTGCTCCACAATTTCCAGGGTTGTCAGGCAGACGTGAGAAATGAGATCTGAGGACAACTTTATGCATCAACAAATAAGAATACCTGGACTTCCTACCCTGTAAAGCTCCTGGACTCAGCTCCTCCCTAAAGAAAGGCCATCTATCCACAAGGTCTTGGGAGATCTGTTTAATTTCAGAAAATTTAAAGTTTTCTGTGAGCTTCCGGATTATTACCGAAAACAAACTTTAATGTTAAAGGTTGCAGTTTCTTTCTTTCTTTTCTTTTTTTTTTTAAGAAGAAGCATAACCAGGTAGGGCGTTTGAGAACACCTATATCTCCTACATACTCTAGTTGCATTTTTCCCTTTATAAAAACTCCCTAGCAACTGTATTTTAGAACGTAGAACCTGAATCAGAAACTTCAAAAGCCTACTGTCTCCCTCCTGCAAAATAAGAAGAGAGTTTTGAAGGCTGAACACCAATTTACCAGTTTTGTATTCCGAACTTCCATTTATGACAAAATACTTGGCTTTCCATGTCTTTTCTACATATTCTAAATAAACTGGAAGGAAATCGCCAATTAGCCCCCTGTAGAGAAAATCTGATACAGAGAATCTCTCATACTTAGAGAATTTAGGTGAAGTGAATATTACACATAAATCAATAAATGTCTGCAAGCCAATAGACTGCAATAACATTATGAATCTCTATTTGAATTATTAGAGACTTCAGCGAAAACTACATCTCCCAAAGCTATGACCTTTGAAAATTTCTTGTAGCCCCCAAAACTTCAGAAGCTCTTCAAATAGCAGCAGTACACATATTCCATATCAATCTTGTCTAACATTTTGCAATCTATATTAAAACACAACCAAACTCAATGATTAATACTAATTGCTATTTTTTAATGTATATTTCAAAATAAATGTATAATATGTATGGTAGGAAATAGATGTGTAATATTTATATAGGCAAGAAATTTCTACTACTATTTTTAACTCAGAAAAAGATATTTTTCTCAATTCCCCCCATTTCTACAGTGATGAATGAAATTAGTGGAGAAAAAAACACAGAACTTACTACTGCAATACATGGGAGCCCTAACTGACACAAACAAATGTCAGGAAACTTTAAGAATATAGATGTGTGCTAATTCTTCAAAGATATTTATTTTCGCCTATTCAGAGGGTTATTACCATGTAGTTTACATATTTAAATTCCTGTTTGGTAAATTTATTAAGACAATAGTAGGTGGTCCATTCTCCACTATCACCTTTTCCTGACCCCTGGTCCTTAGACCTCCCACACTCTCTCTCATCCTTAGCGCTCTACCTCAAAATTTGAAGAAATACTTTCTTCTTAATAAGAATTTCTCATCATGTTTTAAAACCTCATTATTTCTAAATTTAAGTCTAATAGGGAAAGCACAGAAATTGTTTCTTACAAGAAACTGATACTTGGCAGAAGTCAGTAATTTTAAGAGTAAAAATGACCTTCTAACCTTTGTAACTTACCTTTAAAAAAGATTGTTGCTATTAGCTACAAAATATTTGATGAGGAATGATGCTGTCACACTCATACCCTTTAGTATCTGCTGTACATTTTAGCTCAATAATTGCTACCATGTAAGGCCAACATGGTCACCTTTAGATTTACGGAAGCACATATAGTATGTTTATACCGCATTTCCCACCCCCCTGCAAATACATCTATTTTGTGGCTGACTCACCAATGTTCATAGCATGTTTTCACATCTAGCTTTCACTGGCAGCTTCCCATACTGCAGCTCCACAGGGGTGTCTCCAAGTTGTGAAATTTGTTGAAAAACAAACAATGACAGTTGAATGCATCTTGGGAGAAATGCCTTTGATAGGGTTTTAAACTCCAGATCTCAAGATAGAGTAGGATTTACTGGCAAATTGCAAGTTTCAAATTCTAAAGTCAAAAGAGGCAGAGTGAGCCTGTCTACGGTGTATTTGTGTTGACCTGGTGTGGTCCAGTGACCCTCACTCCTCCTACAGCTCCTTAAGCTTCTCTTTCCAAGCCATTGCCATTGTCTAGGCTAAGTGGGCATGTTAGTAGTGAGAGTCAAAGTCTAGTAGGTGTGATGTTGTGATGTTATTAATCACAGGGAAAGCTTTCTGTCAATTTCTCTATATATCAACATTTTGGTCCTCAAACAGCCTGCTTTCAAGGTTTAAATAATCCTAGGAGAATTCACACTTCAGTTAACACCTTGGTTATCAGTTATCACCTCAGTGGGGATTCACTGAAAACTTGCTGAGAGCAAAACACAGCAGAGAATAATCAGGGAAGAGGATTAGGAGGGAGGTAAGATATTGGAAGAGTAGTCAGGAGCCTTGCAAGTCAAGATAGGTGAGTAGACAGGAAATACTTCACTGACTGCTTCCCAGTTTGATGGAGAGCCAGTCTAAGAAACTGGGGAAGCCAAAAAAGCAGAAAGTGGGGTGCAGTATATGAGGTGGGTAAAGTGAGACACTGGTGCCAGGGACTGGGACTTGATTTTATTTTTCTGATCATGATTTACAAAATTGGAACTCAGAGCAAGACACAGGTCTTCAGATTCCCAGCATTCCCTTTTGTTGTCACTCTGGCCCCGATGAAGAATCATAGTTTAGATACATTATGAAGAGCTAATGCTGGGGCCACTGCTGGATTGAACTTTGCCTTCATATTTGTGTATTTGTCCCTTTAGTTCTTTCTCTACTAAACATTCAGTAAGTCAATCCACAAATATCTATCATCAAAGATGTAAACAACATTTTTGATAGCTATTATTTTAATTAAATTTATTTCTTCTGTAGGTTTCCTTAACCTCATTTTCAGACATGCCACAGCTCTAGAAAGAAAAATGCTAAGCATATATAATGACAGCTGGTCCATTTCTAACCGGCTTTGAAGTTGGATCTATTAAGACTTTCATATAACTCCATTTTTTTTAAATGCATGCACATACAAGCATATGCACGAACGTGCACACACACACAGAGTTGTCTTTCATAGGTTATTTTTTTCCCAACAATTACGAAAGCATGCTACTCCGTTATCTGTAACCAACACGAGGATATTCAGGAAAGGTCCAATTTATTGCACATCTTCCATGTGCCAGACACAGAGCCAGGCAATTTACATGCATGATACCTTTTAGCCTTCACTGCCTGCCTAAGATCCCAAAGCTAGTAAGTGCAAAGGAAAGTTCTGGAAAATGATCAAGCTATACTGTTTCTAGATATTTTTTCTCTATGTAGAAATATCTCTGAATCATCTTCTGTTTATGTTCTTTAATTCTTCTGCCCCCATATCTTTCCTTCTCCACCTGTTGCATATTTATTTATCTATCTCTATTTCAGTAAGAGCTAGGACTCATCTATAATTAAAGGCAGGAAAAGAGAGAATGGCAACATCGGGGAGCTTGCTAAGCTAGGCAGAAGCAGCTCCACTTGTATAATGAACACCCTAGTCCCTGACTCAAATGATGACCCTGTCCACTGGAATCTTTCATCTCAGCAGCATCAAGCCAGTAGCCCAGCAGGCAATCCGACTGGTTGGCTGAGAAGGGAATTAACCAAGACTGCCTCTCTCTCCTTATTGCAAAAGTGTTTGCCAGTCAAGCAAATGTTGTTTGTCTTCCCTGGGGGAATACATGCTTCCCATTACCTTCCCAGCTGGTAGAATGTAAGGAGACATGTGCATTAAGGGAATTCCAAGTGTCTGACTTCACCCAAAGCTGTAGTTTAATGATATATATAAGTTAACCTAAAAACAAAATTTGGCCATTTCTGAAACATTTCATTATAAGGCTAGGGAAACAATACCTGATTTGTAAAAGTCAACCATCTAGAGTGGTGCCTTATCCCAAATCCATCTATGAGCTTAAATTAAGCATAGAAAAAGGGGAAAAAAAATGAAGCAAAACCCCTGGGTATTAAAAACTCAGGAGTAAATTAAAGACATCATAAAATGATGTCAAGAAGGAACACTCCATGTCTTCGTTTTGAATTGTATTTACTGAAGCCTTGTAAGTCTTAAAAATCATGTGTTCTTAATTTAATAGAAAGTAGCAACATTACTAATATTTGCATTGAGGAAATAAAAAACAAAACCAGAATGAAATTTCTAGAATAGGATGTTAACAGACTTTTGCTGTTGTTTGTTTGTTTCTTTATTTTTAGAGATGAACCCACTGAAGCAAACTTGGAAGATATTAGGTGCCTAATTTGATAAACAGGTCCTCTTGTGGTTTAACTTAATCTAAAATGTTCCGTAGATAAACAGACTTTAACAGCTGTAGTAGATATTAGTCAGTTCAATTACTATAATTCTTAAAAAGGTATTTTTCAACATTTAAACCATAGGGTGAATCTGATTGAATTAATTGATTACTAGGAGATGATAGTAAAGTGACCAATAAGGCAATTAAAATTTGTGTTTTCTTTCAATTGAGATATATGTTTTGACTTTGTAAAATAAAGACTTTTTGAACATTTCAATGAGCGTTAATTATAAATACTTAAATTTCCATGAGGGCTATGAGGCAATGACACAAAAAAGGATAAAATAAAATGTTTAAGAATATTTTTAAAATAATTTCACTGTATGTCCATGCACAGAAAGACACACATTCTTATATTAAGGCTATTAAATTTAAAAATTTGCAGGTGAAAAGATTTCTAAAAATACCTCAGTTCTTGAGATTTATACCAATGTGTTTAAAAAATTTTGTT